GCATTCCATTCTGATATACCTTTCTAAAGCCAAACACGGTAATACGCAGAAGTTGCAATAGAAAACAACAGCTTTATGTAGTTACAAAAATGTTGATTCTGCCACCTATCTGCAAAGTAGAATAGTTTCTTGTTACAGTTTCAGCATGGCTGGTCAAAAGAAGAAAATCTTTAGCAAAAGTTAAAAGAGAAAATTGGATTCTCATGTGGCTGCAATATAATCTGACACTTCTAAGTAACGCTATATCTGCTACCAGTGAAACGAAGGTTACATGGCAGGGAAAGTGTCTCCTCTCAGTAAATAAGATCTATTCAATGGAAATTCGAGGTTTATTTAATCTGTTTACAAAAATTAGAATACGATTTTATTTTAAGATTAGGCACATAATAGGGCATAACTTTGTCATAACATATTACCAATGTATTCCATGCACTACATTAAATCTACATTAGATTTGCTATTCCTATGTAAGAGCCGATATTCTGAGATGCCAGGCACTTCCAATATCATCGAATAGTATCTTATTTGAGTAACTACTTCCATTGACCAAAGTGAAATATTCAAGAACAGTAAGTTACCAGAAGCATAGCTTTAGTTACATTTATTTAATTCTGGAAAGAAGCACTACTGATTAAAGTGGTCTCTTATCTGTAAATGGACACTTCTGTAATGGACAAAGTCATTCACTTAATGGGACAGATCACTGTTCAGAAACAATGAGATGGAGAAGACCTATATAAAATTTAGAACTGACTGAAACAAACCTCATGCTTTCTTATGACAGCTGTGACCAGAAAGGCTATCTGCTAATTTACTTCCCCTTTCAATAGCTACATCATACACTCTTCAATAAGTCAAAGCTCAAAAAAAAAAAAAAAAGCTTCCTAACAAAATGTTTTATTTCTATCTTATTTTAAACTAAGCTGGGATGACCTCCTGAAATCACTTAGTGAGACATTTTCCTCTAGGCTAAGCTGGAGAAGATAGGTCGAGTACGTAGTGATAACGCATACTGGCAAGGAACAACTGCAGATAATAGGAGATAGAACAAGATATGGAGAAATAAGCAGGAATATAAAGAAAAGGAAGGCCAAGCAGTTAGCTGGAAAGGCACACTTCCATATATAATCTGAAATTTAACTCAGTA